GGGAATTGGAGCTTGAGGGGGTGGGAATGAAAAATTTAAGAGGGCGAGAACTATGAAGAGGTTGGCAGTGTGGATATATAAGAAACAAGATGAGAGAACGAGAGACGGGGAGGGGAATGTATTCTTCGTCCTTGCTCATGTTTAGGTGACAATGACAAAATGTCTCTCAATAAAGTCTCACGTTGGATGGAGAAGAAGATAAATCTATGGTGAGTACAATTATCTCTATTGTTACGAGGTTTTTTAGGTAAACAAAAAATAAACACATGAGGATTATGCCAAAGTGGACAATATAATATCATTGTGTAGAGATATTTGAGGTACCGTTAAACCACAATATTTATTCGAAAATCATTGAATGAGATATTCAATCATTATATGATCATTCCATGAAAAAAACGTAATCAAAATTGGAAAAGAAACCACAAAGGCCATGACATGAGGACTGGCGTTAAAATAGATATGACAACATTAGTATCGAATAAACAAGTCAAAGCCAACTTGAGCATAGCTTAACTGGATTAGGCACATATATTTAATAACCAGAAGATCGTGAGTTCGAAACTTCATCCCTATTTATTGTACTAGTTACGATAATAAAACCTCGACAAAAAGGTTAGATGATCGAATCTTCACTCATATGGTCGAATTAAAAAAAGAATAAAAAATTTAAAAATCATTTTAGCATTAAAATGAGTAGATATACATGATCCAATGTTGTTAATTAATACCTTTCTTTGTTACCCATCTTAAAGGTAGCTAATGATTATTTAAGCTGAAGCAAAGCAAACTAGGCTTTTATAAAATGAACAAGATTGAATCCCTAGTGAAAAGGGGAGTTTTTTTCCTCTACTTTTCTTGAAGAAGAAGAAAAATTAAAGGGTGTTGTATATGGGTGGCTTTTGGACACAGGGATTAGTCTATTCGTATAAAGAATAAAGAAATATCTAGTGCATGGACGTGGTTTCGGTATTCACGTATCCAAAAAGTAGGAGCAATCAAAAGGCAAAAGCCAATCAGAGCAATAATATTAGAACAATTTTGAGATGAAAAATATAATTGTTTTATTTTTAAAATGAATTTATCAAATTTTTATCAACTTTAATTGCTAGCCGCCAATATTATAACCAAAGACATTATATTTTCCGTTATCATCAACGGACAAATCAAAGAAGAAAGCATCCCCATAAATGGCTCCATTGATTTCATTTTTTGTATTATAATACGAGAGAATATTCGATTATGAATAATATTAAAGATATATTATCCTCTCCAACCAACTTTCCCACCTTATTTTGAATTCTTTCAAAATATTACTAATTTTCAAACTTTAAACTTATACAGGGCCACCAATATGTCAGTCTTAAAAAAAAAATCTATATACTATCTCAATAATAGTAATAATAAATAAATAAGAAAAGGAAGATAAGTTTCAAATATAAATATTTTAAAAATAATTTTGTATGATGACTTTCCAAATTTACAATTTTGTATCGAGTAAGTCCTTGAACTTTTTCAACGTCTTCGAAAAGAAAAATGGGCTAAATTTATAATTTAATTTTAAATAAAATTTTTCTTTTAAATGTCAATGTCTAGATGAGGAGAGGCAAATGGGTTTACTTGTGAATGGAGGTTTGTTCAGTTGTCTTGTTCGAAAATGGAGAATTTAAAACGCATATTTCATGGTCGTACGTCAGCTTTCCAACTCTATAATAAATAAAATAAAAAAGAATTTTATTTGATTTTATTATGTTATATTAAAATAGTGAATTTGAATTAGGTATGGAAAATGGAGGGTGAGACAAAACAGAGAAAGATAAGGTGGTACTGAAAATGTAAGGCAGTGGAGAATACGTTAGATATCCAATATATCTTTTCCATGCCTTCATGCTCATGCATGCATCAAACCTTCGATTCACCCTCCACAAATAATAATATCAAATATATATATATATATATATATATTTAATTCAATCACTATTGTATACAAAATGGATAATAGTGTTAATAGGTGGAATTCGAACCTACCAGAAAAGTACACGTGTTTGGGCCTCAGCTCGAACAGGTTGAGGACGCCTAAAAACGTGAATGCCACTAGTGCAAAATTTGCTAAATATAAGATACAAAATGTTGGAATAACACGGTCATTAATGTTTCCCAAAACTAGCGAAGTCGATTTCTATACAACGTAATTAAACTCGGTTTGACACCAATTTACATTAAAGTAGTAACTTAAGCTCGAAGTGTATGTGGTCAAGAACCTCACTAGAGCGATGTTCTATTGTTTGCAAGTGATTACCTTGGCTCTAATTGGATGTCTACTTCAGATTAGGAGATGACTCGTATGGAATTCTATATAACAAGAAGTTCAAGTCCCAACCCTTTACTTAAATTGTAATTTAAAAAAAATTACTTAATTGGAAAATTTTGTAGGTAGGAACTTCTTTTATGAAATGGGATTAATTAATGAATTTTATAAACGTAATGAATAATTGTAATTCTTAGTATTGAAAAATTGTTCTATGAAAATTGTAATATGAAAATACGTGGACTAAAACGTTTAAATAATTTATGGACTATATATTTATTTTAACCAGAACATATATTTGTTTCTTTTTAGTATTTCTAATATGTATTTGATTTAATGAATTTATAAATAGATATAATAATCGCCTTGGTTGGATAAAATTTTGAAACTCTTTTTAAGGTTAAAGTTAGGTATGTTCTCGAGTATGAATCTAAATCTCATTCATTGCCTTGGAATTTGAGTTTCCTAAGCACATGCATCTTAAGATTTTTTTTCTCTTTTTCTCGTAACAATCAAAATGAATTTTCAGCTATAAATAATATCAACCACCTCGGTTTTTTCCTTCGTTCGTTTCATAAAATAAAGTTAAGATAACCGGCTTCACCAACTGATGTCACTTGCGTTTTCATATTTCTAAGTGTGATTATTATTGGATATTTTCGAGTAACGAGACTTGCACCCATTCATATTAGTTCATCTAAAGTTTTCTTATCCTCACGAATTATTGAATAAGTGGAATAGAAATTCAAACCTTTAGATTTACACAAGTTGTTGAATTGAAAGTTATATTCAAATTGGTTTAAATATACTCTCAAGTTCATATTAGTATTATTGTTTATGAAACTCGTTTAAGTTTCCTACAAAAATTTATCATCACATCCATATTTAATAAAGGTTAGTTGGCTGGAAGAGAGTCGTCTCTTAACTTCAATTCGTTTAGTCGGAACGTCTCATTAAAATCAAAACATGGTTTTTTCTCCCTAATTTTATCCTTCAACCTTCTATTTTAAAACCAAGTATTTTGCAAATCAAATTTCTTTTTTCTTTTTTTGACATAAGTTATATAACTAGGAGAATTTAGAATAAAAGTTGATAGAAACTAGAAAAAAGTTGCTAGAAAAACTACATTTAATAGTGAAATGAATTAAAAAGGTTAGGCAGACAGTTAATGTAATGTTTTAATTTAACCAAGGTAAACAAGTCAACCATAATCAAGCTACTTTCACACTTCCCAAAACAGGCTTCAGGATTCTCCACTATGATTTCTTTCTTTTGTTTGCATCCAGTCATTTCACTTTCACCAAATTTCTAAATTATTCCCCTGTTATAATTTTTATCCCTCCATATATATATATATATTATAACAGAACATATCAGATGTTTAATTAATTTTCCTTTCCTTATTCTTGTTTCATCAATTTTTGGTGGGGACTTCCTTTAATATCAGTTCATTAAAAATCATATTTACTTTTTTCAAAAGAAATTAAAGCTTCCATAAGTAATGATGGAAAAGAAAAAAAAGAGTTGAAGTGTCATCATTTGCCACAGCTTTAATCATGTGGCTTTAAAACAATTAATGATTTAACCAAAATTATCGTCTATTTATTGTCGATATTTATTAAATCCATAAATTACAACCAAAAATTCCTGAGGGTGAAACGAAACTACGAAAATGACCAACTACCCACCCACCCGACAAACTGAAAACCCGGCTTAGACCGGACCGGAAACCGGTCTAGGCCACCGCCACGTGTGATTTTTTATATACTTTTCCTTT